CCCTTTTGTACTGTCCTAGCAGAGGTTCTCCAGGAGAGCTCCATCCCTACAGCAAACTTCTGCCTGGACATACAGGCATTTCCATACATCCTCCGAAATCTGTGTGGAGGTTCCTAAACCCTAATTCTTGACTTCCATGCATTGTCTGTCCCAATACCACGTGGAAGCTGCCAAGGCTTGAGGCTTGTACTCTCTGAAGCCATGACCTGAGCTCTATGTTAGCCCCTTTCAGACATAGCTGAAGCAGCTGGAGCAGCTGGGACACAGGGCACCAAGTCTCTAGGCTGCACACACTATGGGAACCCTGGCCCAGCCCACAAAACCACTTTTTCCTTGTAGGCCTCTGGGTCTATGATGGGAGGGGCTGCCATGAAGACCTCTGGCATGCCCTGGAGAGATTTTCCTCACTGTCTTGGTTCCTTGTTATTTATGCAAATTTCTGCAGCTGGCTTGAATTTCTCCTCAGAAAGTGGGATTTTCTTTTCAATCGCTTTGTCAGGCTGCAAATGTTCTGGACTTTTGTGCTCTGCTTCCCTTGTAAAACTGAATGCCTTTAACAGCACCCAAGTCACCTCTCGAATGCTTTGTTGCTCAGAAATTTCATCCACCAGATACCCTAAATCATCTCTCTCAAGTTTAAAGTTCCAGAAATCTCTAGGGTAGGGGTAAAATGCCACCAGTCTCTTTGCTAAAACATAACAAGAGTCACCTTTGCTCCAGTTCCCAAGAAGTTCCTCATCTCCATCTGTGATCACCTCGGCCTGGGTTTCATTGTCCATGTCATTATCAGCATTTTAGTCAAAGTCATTGAACAAGTCTCTAGGAAGTTCCAAACTCTCCCACGTTTTCCTGTCTTCATCTGAGTCCTCCAAACTGTTCCAACCTCTACCTGTTGTCCAATTCCAAAGTTGCTTCCACATTTTCAGATATCTTTTCAGCAGTGCCCCACTCTCAGTACCGATTTACTGTGTTAGTCCATTTTCATGCTGCTGATAAAGACATACCTGAGACCAGGCAATTTATATAGGAAAAAGGGTTTAATGACTTACAATTCCATGTGGCTGGGGAAGCATCACAATCATGGTGGAAAGCAAAGAGGAGTAAGTGTCCATTTTCATGCTGCTGATAAAGACATACCTGAGACCGGGCAATTTATATAGGAAAAAGGGTTTAATGACTTACAATTCCATGTGGCTGGGGAAGCATCACAATCATGGTGGAAAGCAAAGAGGAGTAAGTCACATCTTACATGGATGGCAGCAGCCAAAAAGAAGTTGTGAAGGGAAACTTCCATTTTCAAAACCATCAGCTCTCATGAGACGTATTCACTATCAGGAGAACAGCACGGGAAAGACCCGCCACCATGATTCAATTATCTCCCACCAGTTTCCTCCCATGACACATGAGAATTGTGGGAGTTACAATTCAAGATAAGATTTGGGTAGGGACACAACCAAACCTTGTCGCAGGCCAAGGCAGGAGGAGTGTTTGAAGCCAGGAGTTTGAGACCAGCCAGGGCAACATAGCAAGACCTTATCACTGTAAGATATTTTTTAAAGCAGTAGAAGAATGAAAATGTAATCATAATTCACTATATGGCTTGGCTCTGGATAAAAATAATTTTTTTCTTAAACCTGGATCTACCTTAAAATGGCGATAAATTAAGATGATGGGAGAGAGAAAAACATATGTATGTATTTGAGAAAAGGAAACATTGCCTATAAAATAGCTTCAGATAGGTCTATAGCGTAATAGAAAGTAAAAGATGAGAAATGGTTCCAGATTGAAGGAGACCAGAGATATAGCAGTTAAATGTAACAGATGAACCTGGATTTAGTTCTGTACCAGAGAGGAAGAACATTTTCTTTTTAGGATGTTTTTGGGACACAGAAATTCAAAAGGATCTGTGGATTAGACTGTTGTATTATGTCAGTGCTAATTTCCTGATTCAAATAGCTGTATCGGTACTATGGTTATATAGAAGAGTTCTTGTTTTCTGAAAATACACACAGACCTATTTAGGAATAATGGGGCAACATGTTTCCGGCTTACTCTCAATAAGTAAAAGTTTTCTCATCCCTCCTTTTCTCTCTTTTGCTTTCTCTCTCCTTAACTTTCTTGTACCAATTATAATTTATCTGCAGATCTAACATAGGCATGCTTCCTGTCAGATTTATGTCATTATTCTATCAGTTTCCTTTTCTTCCTTTTTTGTCCTCCTTTCACTTCCTTTTTTCATTCCCTTTCTTGTTTTTCTCTCTCTCCTTCTCTTTTTCCTTTCCTCCTTTGCTTACTCCCCTTTCTTGTTCTGTTTTCCACCATCCCCTTTTCCTTCTTTCCTCGCTTCCTTTATTCTTTCTCCCTGTCATCTCCTTGACACCCTGTATATTTATTTTCCTGGTCCAGTGTATATGGGCTGTTCTCTAGGTTTGCTGCAAAACTGTTAACCTAGAACATTATCTTCTGGGATATTTCCTTTACTTTGATCTTCTGTTGTAACTCTTGTTTTTAGATTCTGTATCTTCTTTCCTGGCATATTCCCTTATTTTGGAGAAGTCAAGAAGCTTCCAGAGAATAGGTACATGGGAAGTTTTTTGAAATCTTCTATGTCTGAAATGGCTTTACTTTACCTGTATATTTGAATGACAATTGTCTGGGTATGTATAATTCTAGGTGGAAAATACTTCTCTCTCAAAATTTTGAAGACATTAGTTTATTATGTAGTTTCCAGCATCACCATTTAAGAACTCTGATGCCATTCTGATTTCCAAGATTCCTCCTTTATTTTACTTATATTCTTTCTTAAATCTTTCAGGAATTTAAAAATCTCTAGTTTATGAAATGTCATGGTGATGGATGCTTGTAGGAGTACTGCCTACCCAACCAGTGTCCTGTTCATTTTGGGGAGACCTCACAGGCCCTATCAACCTGGAAATACTTTATGTCAAGGATATTTTTCTTTTTCATTTTCTGGAATTCCTTTTATTCAGGCACTGCCTGCCTGAATCCTTTCATTTTAAAAAATTTTCTCATTTTCCATCTCTTGTTCTTTTGGTTCACATAGTGGGACAGTTCTTGAGCTCTGATTTTCAAACCTTCTGTTGCGTTTTTATATTGTTATCATATTTTAATTTTCATGAGTCTCTTTTTTGGTTGGTGTTGTTGCTGTTCTCTGTTATTTTAAAAACAGCATGCTTTCTCATTCATGGATTTAATATTTTCTGTTATCTTTCTGGTGATTTCATGGTTTTTAAAAAGTGTTTATGCTCTGTTCTTTCTGCTTCCTTTAATCTTCTGTTTCAGTTTGTTTGTGACTTTATTTCACATCAGAGCCTTCCCTCATGTTCAGATGTTTGGTAGTTCCTACACCAAATAATAAAAAGCAGAGTAGACATTCTGCATGTGCGGTAGGGGTTTCAATGTAGGGTGGTTATACAGAGACCTGGCTAATTCATTAGGGGGCTACAACTGTCAGTTTTTCCTCCAATATCAGCTAAGAGAGGAAACTTCCAACTATGGTGGGTGCTGTGTTATGAGTATTTGTGTCCACCCAGAATTCATACTTAGAAATTCTAACTGCCAAGGCGATGATAGTAGAAGGTGGAGTCTTTGGGAGGTGATTAGATCATGAGGGTGGAGCTCTCATGATTAGAGCTGATGCCCTTATAAAAGACCCCAGAGAGACCCTCACCCCTTTTACCACGGGAGATTGTAGTGAAAGGAAGCTGTTCTGTAAAGTGGGCCCTCACCAGATGCTGAATCTGCTGACATCTTGATCTTGGGCTTCCTAGTTTAGAACTGTGGGAAATAAATTTCTGTTGTTTGTAAGCCTAGTTTATTGTATTTTTCTTTAATAACAGCCTGAATGGATTATGATGGGGTGGGGATTGCACCTTCCTGCCAATGTTCTTGGGACCCGGTGAACAGGGTTGCATGTCTTTGGGTCTGGTATGCAGGACTTTCACTTGATAGCTGGCTTTTCATAGGACCTCTCCCCCTATCCTACTGGATGCCCTCGAGTTCAGACCTTTCAGAAAGTAAACTTCCAGTGTTCTGCCAAATTGGGGTGGGAAAGTTACCTGATTGCCTAGGGTAGGTGAGGGAATCTGAGGTTCTAGCTCTTTTTTGTTTTATTAGATCTTCTTAATAACCAATCATCTGGTTTTTGCTCTGCCACAACCTTTATGTCTGCAGGTTCTTGGTGCCTCCAATTCTTGAACCTTCCTGGCATTCTACATCATAAATATCCTTGCTTCTAGTTTACTCTTCTCTTCAGTATTACTTTCCAGTTTTCTCTGCTCTGCTATTTAAAGTTACCGCTTGATGATCAGTTCTCCAGTTTCCAAAAAGTAGTTGGCACCTTTCATTTACGTAGTTTTTGCTTCTTATCCTCACCTGAGTCTGTTAGTGCTACTGTGACAAAGTATCTGAGACTGGGTAATTTATAAACAATAGAAATTGATTTCTCACAATTCTGGAGGCTGGGAAGTTCAAGATCAAAGTGCTGGCACTTTTGGCGTCTGGTGAGGGATTCTCTCAGTTTCCAAGATGGTATCTTTTTGTTGTGTCCTCACATGGAAGAAGGTGAAAGGGCAAGAAAGGCACTAGCTTGTTCCCTACAGCCCTCTTATAAGGTAGCTAGTACCATTCATGAGGGCTCTACCCTTATGACTTAATCACCTTTAAAGGTTCCACTTCTTAATACTGTTGCATTGGGGATTAAGATTCAACATGACATTTGGAGGGAACAGAGCCATTCAAACCATAGCAATCCTTGAGGCTTTGTACTTTTCATTTGTTTGTTTGTTTCTTTACTGTCATCTTTTGGATGGGATTTTTAAGAGGAAATAGGTAAAAATACATGTTCAATATGCCACATTTAACTAAAAGCCCAGTAATCCTTTTTGTTCTTGATATATTTCATTAATATTGATAGCATCTAGAAATGGAAGAGTTTAATTTTTCTATTGATATTAATTTTTGAATGTTTTATTTCTTAGGATGCCTCATTGATGGACATGAACTCCTTCAGCCCTATGATGCCAACGTCCCCTTTATCAATGATAAACCAAATCAAGTTTGAGGATGAACCAGATTTAAAGGATCTCTTCATCACAGTTGATGAACCTGAAAGTCACGTTACTACAATAGAAACTTTCATTACCTATAGGATTATTACTAAGGTAAACGTTGGATGAATATTTTCTTGAATTTAGCTGCTTTTTTTGAAGCTTTGGAAGTAAGTACCTCTTGTTCATTATAATTCTCAACATTCCAGGATCTTAGCTGAATTGACTTTTAGTTTTTCAAACCTTTTGGCTAACACATTGCTTCTTATCTGCCCTTCACTTGTTCTGTATCAAGTCAGTGAAATTCAAATTGACTTGAGGAAGTCACTGATTTTATAGCAGCTATACTTCTTAGAATAAGAACATCTAGGTTTTTAGTTTAAAAAAATTATTAAGAAATACCTTTGGAAAAGATGGACCTCAAGTTGTTAATAAAAAAAGAAAATAGTTAAACAGTTTGCAATATTATGTATTCAGATTTCTTTGGAACATTATAAAATATAGTATCATTTGTTTTTCAAAGTGGGGCAAGTGGCCACTTTGTCTCATGTATGAGATACTGTTAAGTGTGCAATAATTCAAGGGCAAAGTAGATCTAGAACACAGAGCTCTTTAATCATAGGGCAAAGCACTGCAAAGACAGTTTACCTCAGGCATAATTAAGCAATCACCTAGTATAATCTGTATTTTAAGTCATTTATTTAATAGCATTTTAAAATAATTCTCTTTATAGTATTTTGTTTATAAAGCCTCACCCTAGGCTTTTATACTTCATGTATGTAAAAGTACATCTCTTTTTTTTGCTGAAAAAGTTCTGAACTATATTCCTATAATCACTTCTTCCAATGAAACTGCCACACTGCTATTAGTTATGTTTGCTAATTTCTTCATTTGAATTCTTAAAATCCCTTCTTGCCCCTTATTTCAGTCAGAACGAAGTGCAGACTTTCTTGTATGACATATAAAGGGGCTTCTCAGTCTGGTGCCAACTTGCCAGAGAAGACTTATTTCTTACACCTCACATTCAGTACCCTTGCTTTCCACTCATGTAGAGCTGCTTCTGTTTTCTGAATATTTAGGGGATCTCTTGCTCTCATCACTTTGCATATAGTTTTCCTTTTGTTTGCTATGTCCATCCCCTTCTTAGACAGAAGAAGTCATGCTTAGTTTTCAATATACAACTCAAAATGTTAGATGCCTGTGAAGGCTTCTCTAGTTGTTACTGTCCCGTGGCTGAAATAGTTATTCTTCGTCTGTTTCTTATGCTATTCTATCGAACTCTTAAGAAATGTGAAACATTAGAGTCAATATGGCAAAACATCAAAAGCTTATATTTAATCCAACTAAGCTGTCTTTTTAAATCGATAAACATGAGATAATAGAACTCACTTCTGTAGGATTGCAGTAGAATAAGGAATCAATGGAAACCCCACTTAGTAAAATGCCTAACACATGATAAGTGTTCAGTAGTTGCCATCTACCTGTATGGGAATAGTTGCCATCTACCTGTAATTGCCATCTACCTGTGTGGGAATAGATGCTTATTTGTATTTATTCTCAGTGAGTTTGTGAGTTTCTCAAGGAAGGTAACTATATTTTAAGTTATCCGTAATTCCAAACACAAATCTTAGGACATGATAAGTAAACTATTTATTTTGTTGATGAATGAGTGAAGGAATTATCTTAGCTACATCAAGATGTGGTAGAGCAAGACAACATGGAGTTGAATCTTGATTTCTCACCTTCCTTGCTATGTGACTTGAACAATTTAACCTCTCTATATTAGTTTTCTTGTGTGTAAATAGGACAACAGTACTAACCTCATAAGGTCTTTATGAAAATTGAATGTTCATATAGGCATACTGCTAGAATAGAGCCAGATTTCTCCTATTACTACTGTTATAATTATCTATTGTCATTATCCATCCTAGCAAATAATTTGTGAAACTGAATTATTTTTCCATCATTCGCATCTCTCAGAAAGACGCTCTTTCTAAAGTCACCTTATGAGTTTAATTTAATTCATACTGTTCCTCTGAGTTTTCCTATTTACGACATACTTTAAATGGACTGGTCTTATAGAAGTAGTAATAGTAGTAGTAATAATAATATTAAAGTGTATAAACTAGGAAACATTTACTGTGTGATTGCTTAGTGCCAGGTAATATTCTAACCAGTTGCTACATGTTAACTCATTTAGGCTCACAGTAATCCTCAAACATAGATACTATGATTTACCCCCATTTCATGCATGAGGACACTGAAGCTTAGTGGCTTGTTAAAGGTTACACAGCATAGTAATTAGCTGAGCTGAGATTTAAATCCAAACAGTTTACTTTCATAGTGTACATTTTTTCTATTATATTTTTGTGCATTTAGGTATGGATATGGTAAACTTTCAGTTTAACTATTATAAACTAACTTCCTTTGTTCTACTTCTCATTACTTTTACTATATCATAATATATGGACTATATCTATATATATAAAAATATATATTACAGATATAAATATATAAATAGTACAGGTATATCATGTTATCAGATAGTCTTTTCTTATTCACTTATCGTTTACTTATTTATTCCAAAAGATTGTATTGAGTACCCCTTTTCTCCCAAGTATTGTGCTTATATATTAAGAATACATCAGTGATCAGGGTAGGTCTGACAAAAGGAACTTTCTGCCTTCCTGGTGTTTTCACTCTGAGGAAGGGGTGTTTGTGTATGATGATATTGAATAATTAATTTTATTCTGTGTTAGTTTGTTCTCATGTTGCTAATAAAGACATACCCAGTACTGGATAATTTGTAAAGGAGGAACATTTAATTGACTCAGTTCCACATGGCTGGAACTGGGGGCTCACAATCATGGCAGAAAGCAAGGGGGAAGCAAGACACATCTTACATGGCAGCAGGCAAGAGAGAGCTTGTGCAGGGGAACCCCCATTTATAAAACCATCAGATATCATGAGACTTATTCACTACCATGAGAACAGTATGGGGGAACTGCCCCTTTGATTCAGTTATCTTCACCTGGCCCCACCCTTGATTTGGTTGGGGACACAGCCAAACCACATCATATACTAAGTTATTTCTTTATAGTTATAAATATTTTGAAGGAAAAATATTGGATATTATGAGCATGGGATACACCATCTAATTTGGAGGTTGAAAGATGGCCTTCCTGGGAAAAATCTTAGTTTTATAAATATTTATATTCATGGACACTAAAGATTATAAGGGTAAAAGAATATTCACACATGTAAACTGACAATCACCTATTTAGGAATACTTAAGAATGATCCCACTGTAAATGATTATATCAGGAAAACCACATTTCTGGCATCTGTTCTTTTTATGGGAAATTATCCTTTATTGTTTAGGTTAGCATATTTTAAGTGACTGTTCTAAAGAAGTATTTTCTCTTTTGGAGATCTAGAGATGTATGTTCTCTTAGTACATATAAGAGTAAGAATGAAGAGATTTAACAAGATACTTTCCTTCCACTTCCTGTTTGTGAAAACAAACCTATAAATGCCTGTCGTTGTACAGTTAGGAGTTAAGCTATATTCTTGATTGGCTGAACTGACTATTAGGTTTCATTTTCCCTCAGAAAAAGCTTTCTAAATTCTGAGTTTAGAGTAACTGTTCACACTTGACTGAAGGTTGGTATTTTTGGAATAAATGTATTTGGGGGTAGAGATCACACGAGTTCATTAGTACTAAACTTCAAGTACCCAAGCTTTTATGGTCAAACATGAAAAATTGGCCAGCATTTACAATGTTGCTTCCATAGCAAACTGTATTCTATGTTAGAAGCATTATTTGTACTCCAAATGCACTGTATATACTACATGATATTTCCAAGTTGGATATATGTCTTCAAACCCAGTTATTTCTACAGTTTGGAAACTTTTGTGCATCTTTTTTTTTTCTTTTCTTTTTTCAAGACAGAGTCTCGCTCTGTCACCCAGGGTAGCGTACAGTGGCATGATCTTGGTTCACTGCAACCTCTGCCTCCTGGGTTCAAGCAATTCTCCTGTCTCAGCCTCCTGAGTAGATGGGATTACAGGTGCACACCACCATACCTGGCTAATTTTTGTACTTTTAGTAGAGACGGGTTTTCACCATGTTGGTCAGGCTGGTCTTGATCTCCTGACCTCGTGATCTGCCTGCCTCGGCCTCCCAAAATGCTGGGATTCCAGGCGTGAGCCACTGAGGCATCTTATAATGACCAAATTTGTCCACTTTAGAGGGGACAATGATTCTAATCCTTGCTGTAGGGACATTAGTCTTGTTCCAAACTCTGCTGATAATGACTGTTTTCCTCATCATATTCCTACATCTGTATCTCTTATAACCCTTCAAGAGAAGAATGAAATCTTGCAATAGGAAGAAATAACATTCTTTTCGTTACTTACACTTATCATCTGTTTTATTCTTCTATTGCACTACATTAGAGAATTCCTTTGAGTCAATGATAGAGTGATGAGGATAGACTGAACCAATTATTTGACTTGATTTTATATCTTCTTGCTGGAATTGTTTACTTAAAATGTTGGATATTCTTGAAGACATATACAGCTCAATCTTATTTTAACTGCTGGTTTTTTTGTTTTGTTTTGTTTTGTTTTTTGAGTGCTTCATTGTTCGTTATGACAATGTATAGTCTTAGAAATTGGTAGTGGACCTGTACATATGTACCTGGTACAAGGAGGTACTCAGTCATATTTTTTAATGAGTTACTCTAAACCATGTTTTGGCTGCATATGTATGTGTGTATGCATGTGTCTATTTGCATATGGACATACACACACCAACCAGCCTCTATTATTAAACTACTGGTACTTGATTTAGTTTTCGTGTTTTTACCATTTCCATTTCATGTACCATGTTGCATAATAGTTAAGATTTTGTAGTGTTTTGTGAACATTTAGTTTCTCAGATTTCTGCATTTCATTTGCTCCCACTTTTTCCTATTATAAAGGGAATGTTGTACAAAGATACATTGTATGATATTCTGAACATTCGTTTTAAGAGAATAAACTTTGGAAAGTATAGCTTTCATGGACCTTATTTTATGACAATAAAGATTGCATCTTATGACTTGGACTGTTTAATTTTACAATTGTGTACATCTGTGTGGGTGATTGATATTTCTGGTGAGTGTGAAATATATATGCAGTGTGTCATTCCATGTTTACTTCTGCAGGAAAATCTCAACCTAAATATTACTGCATGTAATTTTTAATATGCAAAAATTCAGTTAAATAAGGTATTGATGTGAGTGACTGTTTTCTTATGAGAGGTGAGTATGCATTAGATAACCCATATTTTTTCTTTGACTTGGGACTCAGGCAATAGAAATGAGGTTGATATTGTACCCATGTTCTTCTTGTCATATGTGTTGGCATGGATTTTTGGTTTGTTGAGAACAGATATTTTAATGTATTTGCTTAATTTTTAGGAGTTTAGGCATATAACCCAAAATAAAATTCTTTGAGAAATGACAGGAAGATTTTCTTTTCACATCAAATGTCTATTAATTACTTCTTTTAAAACAGTGGTAAAATCACTCTAAAATGTTAGAATTTTCGTATACCAAAAGCAAATCCTAGCACAGCAATTCATTTGAGCAAATTCCAAGAAAACATTTTTCTCAGTTACATTCAGGTTATTTTCCAAATTGCAAAAATAGGACTTTCCTCAAATTCTGAATTCTAATCATCTTGAGAAAAGAAATATATTTGAAACCTAAATTCAGAACACACTTGCTTGTTAGCGAGAAAGTCATGCCAAAGATAATAGTAGTTAAAATCTTGTGGAAGGCAGATGGTTGTTGTAAGACAGATTTTTCAGTTTGGATTTTAAATTTAAGTATGATATTTGCTTTCTTTCTGGAAATACCAGAAAGTTTGCTTTGTTTCATCTGCTACATGAATAGATGACAAAAAAAAAAAAAAAAATTACAGGCTGACAAACACTGAATAATTAGGATTTGTTAATTTTTCTTAGAGACCCATTTATTTCACAGTGTCTAAAATAACATTAGGCAAATATCTTCTATCTTATACTGGATGTGCTGTTATTTTCTCCTACTTTCTTCAGACGTCTCGTGGGGAATTTGACTCCAGTGAATTTGAAGTTAGGAGACGGTATCAAGATTTCCTTTGGTTGAAGGGAAAACTGGAAGAAGCACACCCCACTCTGATTATTCCAGTAAGTTTGCAAAAATTTTTTTTCATAGAATAGCTACCAGTTTTCTAGTGAGTCTTTTTGAATGCCTAAAACCTAATTTCAGACCTTAAATTCACTGTAATTCATTTATCTTAGGAATAACATGTATTTCTAAATGTTTCAATCTATGTACACTTTTTAAAAAAACTCTTCATAGTGTGTTATGATTTCTTATTTTTGGTTCTAACATTGTGAATTTTTAAAAAATTATTTTTATAAGAAATGATCAGATGTTCAACTAGTCTTCCAAAAAGGGAAAGCATAGAATTCCTTATAAACCTATGACAAATAATACTCGAATACCTTTTTTTTTTTTTTTGCCTTAGCCATTGCCAGAAAAGTTTATAGTAAAAGGAATGGTGGAACGCTTTAATGATGACTTCATTGAGACACGCAGGAAGGCTTTACATAAATTTTTGAACCGAATTGCTGATCATCCAACTTTAACATTTAATGAAGACTTCAAAATTTTTCTCACTGCACAAGCTTGGGTAAATGATTTTTATTTATACTCATATAATCTTTGGGTGTCTAGATCTATAGTAGATTGTATTCTTCCTCTTATTTACCTTTACAAATCACGCAGTGGTGTACTTGAATTGAGATGGAATTTTTCAGAAACACTGGAGAGTTATCCTTCAGGTATAACCCTGTGTCAAATCTACATATAAATATTACAGAAATCTTGTATCTTCGTATATATATATATATATATATACACACACACACACACGCATACACACACACACTCTCTCTCTCTCTCTCTCTTTAATGTTTTAATGTCAGGGTGCTTCTTGCATAAATAGCAAATACTGAACAGCTATAAATATATTTCTTTTATTGACACTATAGTTGACCCTTGAACAACATGGCAGTTAGGGAAGCCAACCCCTTATGAAGTTGAAAATCCATGTGTAACTTTTAATTCCCCAGAAACTTTACTAGCAGCCTCCTGTTGATTGGAAGCCTTAACTATACCATAAACAGTTGGTTAACACATATTTATATTTTTTGTGTATTATATACTGTATTTTTTGCAGTAAAGTAACCTAGAGAAAAGAAAAGGTTATTTAAGAAAATCCTAAGGAAGAGAAAATACACTAACAGTATCCTACTGTATCTATTGATACCATAAGTTTATGTTGTCTGTCTACCAGATGAATTGTCAGTCTGAAATGGAGGGCAATGACAGTGGCAGACCTCAATCTATGGTACTTAGCAAGCAATTCAACTTTTTTTGTAATGCCATGACTTTTCTCTGCTTCTTGGGAACATTTCCAGCATCACTAGTGGCACTTCATATGGGTCCCATGGTATTATTTCAGGTTTATAGTATTGCACTAAACACAATAAAAAATACATGGGAACCACAAGAGATCACTTTTTACTGCTATACCTGATTTACTGGAGAGATGAACTACTCACACGGAGATGATCAGCGTCACATGGCGTTTTAAGCGGATATTCGCAACACTTCAGCTAGCCACAAATAGCAACAGGAGGGCTACAAAAATAGTACAGTAGTACAGTGTGTACTGTAGTTAATTTTAATCGGTTTTGATTTAATACTGCATCTTTATGTTTGTTTACGTTTCTCTCAACTGCAAATGGTGGCATGTGAGCCAAAATATGTGCACACGTTTTGATAAATGTTAACTTTTTATAATTGATTTATATACATTTTAGGGTAGTAAATGATAGACTAGTATCTACATATATTTTGTGCATTTATGACATACCTTTCTCTCCGGTTTTTCTACATTTCTAGACTATGTGGTTTGTGAGTTGTTTTTAATCGTCGCAAATCTCCAAAAAATTTTCCAATATATTTATTGAAAAAAGTCCACATGTGTGGACCTGCTCAGGTCACACCTGTGTTGTTCAAGGGTCTACTTTATTTTGAGTAATAATGGATCAGGGCTTTTTAAGTTAGGATAAAAGTCCTTATTAAATGGGTAGATGGATGAATGGAGATAGATGAATGGATGGATGGATGGATGGATGGATGGACAGATGGATGGACAGATAATATAATCTCCTTACTTTTCCTTTAATTATCTAAGTGGGGGAGTGCCTAATTTCTAATACAGAAACCTTATCCATTCTACTTGTTTTTTCTTTTATTCTATAAAGCTATAACTCTGGAAGAAAGATACCAGATAGGACAAAGAGTCAATATTAAACAGTTACTGACAAATGTTGAGTTTTATATTTCTCAGTTATTGCCAGTGGTGGAAGCTAAAAAGTGGTTCATTTCAATCTTAACAGATAGTCCTGCTCTATGGAAGCCCTTTGTGACTTATGTGAAATGAATATGTGGCCTGACTTCAGAACTTAGAAGCTGTTAGAAATATTCTCTACAGTCAACAGTTTCAGTAACAGCTTGCCAGTTGTGACATGAGCTGTCTCTGATAATGTTTACTCTATCAAATGAGGCTGTAGTACTCTTGGATGGATGTGTTGCCTGGTCAAGGATGGCATCTGTTATTATTGGCACAAAAAAAAAATCACACTGAATTGGAAATAAACAAGTTTACTTTGTATGTATTATTTTCCATAAGATATTCAGGAACGAAAACCTGGAAGAAGATAGACAATGTGTTATTTAATATTTGGGTAAATAATATATGATATTTTTATCTGTAGATTAGGTAGTCAGCAGTATTTTATTTGATCCCAAGCTTGTGTTTCAACAAGGGCCATAACCATTATTAGAATCCCTTGTCCTTTCTTTTGTTTTTATTTGTTCTTTTATCTTATGCCATACTTCTCAAGGGATATGTTTGTGTGTAATACATTCTTTTATAGGATTTCTTCTATCTGTTTTTCAAGTCTATAGTTGTTCCTCCTAGGTTAAGTATGAAATAACTAGTTACGTTTCTTATTAAAAATTTTCTCTGCAGACAACCAGCCAGTGAAGGCGGTGTCACAGTTTACCCGCTTCATTTGGTTGAAGTGCTATAGTCAGGTAGTATCTATTGACAAACTACCCTAATGACTTTAAGTGGGCAGATCAAGTTGGTGCTTAATAATGAAGTCTCTGGAATCAGACTTCCAGGATTCCAGTTCTTGCTCTATCACTTAATTGCTCTAGGATCTTGAGCAAGTTACTTAACTTTCCTGTGCCTCTATTTTCTTCTGTAAAATGAGGAAAATAATAAAACCTACCTCATAGGTTTATGGTAAATTACGTATATTAAAATGTCAGTATAGTGCCCAGAATGTATTAAGCTCTAAATAAATGTTAGCTACTATTACATCTAAAGAATTAATGAAGTTTTCCAATTTTATTTTTCAGAGTATAACTTAGGCCCTGAGAAATCTTATCTCAATCATTTTCCATTAAATTCCTGTTATAAAATATAGATGGTATATCATATTATCCTTGTCTTCTCTAGTATCTCACTGAGCACTATTCTGTCTGTTAAACCCTGTTCTTTTAAAGATTTATGGTCTGAGGAACGACTGTATACCTGTTTTACATGAGTACTGTGAAAGGGAATATTATCAAGGAGGCTGCCACTTAGAGGGGACACTGTACCTTAATAAAGCTCATCTGCTTCAAGCTAACACTAAATGCCTATGAAACCATTTTATCTTAATTGTATTCTCCTAATTAGGTTTCTTTTTGTATTGAGTCTCGGAATATTGAGACATGTTTCACTAGAAATATTTTGTTTTTTGTTTCTAGGAACTCTCTTCTCACAAGAAGCAGGGTCCCGGATTGCTAAGCAGGATGGGGCAAACAGTCAGAGCTGTTGCATCCTCAATGAGAGGAGTTAAAAACCGCCCAGAGGAGTTCATGGAAATGAATAACTTTATTGAACTATTTAGCCAGAAAATAAATTTGATAGATAAAATATCTCAGAGAATTTATAAGGAAGAAAGGGGTAAGTAGAATTACTGAAATGTGTTTTCACAGTTGTTCAGTTTCTAATGAATCTTCACATTTGTTCGTGTAGTATAGCAACATGCAGTTAGAATGTCAGCTTCAAAGTGTGGCTTATTCCCAGCCATGTTATGGACATTTGTGATTCCTAAATGATTTCAAAGGTAGTTACGGCCAGTCTCCATTTTCACTTTTATCAATCACTAGCTGCTCTACTTCCCATTCATAGATAATAGTGGTAAAGTAAGCCCTGAGTTTACGACTGTGGATGTAGTTTTATGACGTTTGTATTCAACATGGCACAGAGCTCAGAATCAAAGAAGTGATGTTTCAGGAAATAAGTTTTCACATTTTCTGGTAATTATTTTTTTTCTGGAGGGAACAGGTATTCTGTATTATACTGTCAAAGTATGGCAGAGAGATTTATGTATTGGAAAATCTACTTCTTTTCCTATTTTCTTTTTTTTTTTTATTAGTTTATAAGTCAGAATTTATGATGAATTTTTTCTAATTCTAATCGTGATTTTTTTCACTAATTTTCTAATTGCATTTACTTACATTAAAAAATAGATAACTGAGTCAGCAAATAATTTCCTAATATAATTTGTTATTAGAGATCAGGAACTACATAAAGACAAACAAAAGTCCGTAAGTTAATGGCTTATTTGTTAATTGACTTCTACTTAACTGTACTGCCCATCAGGATAAGCTGGGAAATATTTTATTTCTAGTATTCGGATGGTGTTTAATCATAATAAGCACTCAATTAAAATTTGTTCAATGATTGAAAAAAAACACGAATGAACATAAGATTTGGAATGGTGTAGGAAAATGTGCTTTATTAAGAATTGATTGGTTTTAAAAAGAGATACAGAAAAAAATTATAACTGAATGTGCTTTGCCCCTTTTCTACCTTTTTTATTCATGCGTTGACACCTGATGAGATTACTGTAGTGACTGAATATAGTATAATAATTTGTTTTAAACCTCCTTGGTTTGCCCTTACGTTTATTATTTGTCTTTTTTTTTTTTTTTAACCTGAAGAGGTGAATTATTTTAACTAGGTTCTGTGATTCCAGTTCTATTAAGTAGATTCTGGCTGCATAGTTAGGTGGTATGGCAATTCAAAGAGATCTCTGGAAACTATTGGTAGTTAAGAGCTTTATAAGCTAACAATGAGTATCAAAGGGTAATTAAGATGGTACCTGTTAAGCTCACAGTCTAGTTGGGAAATATGTGTATTAACAGACAAATTACAGTGCAGCTAAGTAAATGCTTGCATACAGATGTGATTTGAATGGTATGTAAGCGCAGTTTAGAATTTTAGGGCAGCTTTGCATATAAACATAAATATTGTTCAGGTTTAATGACAGACATTGACATACATTGAGAAATTTGAGATTTCTCAATTGACTCAATTGAGAAAAGAAAGTGGAAAATTTTCTTTTCTAGAAATTAGTTCAGTATGGTCATTATTTACCATAAAGATAGGCCTAGGATCAGGAAGGTGGAGTTTGGAAGGACTATAGAGGTGATTAAATGTTCATTAGGTAACAACTAGTATCTCCATTGTTTTTAAATTTCATATTTTTAAACTTTTTTTAAATACAAACTTTTAAAGTTGTAATAGTTTAATAGTTTAGAGAAATATGACAGATATCAGCAAATCCTAATGAGTTGTAAGATGGTTGAATATAGACAATTTAATTGTATTTATATGGATAGTGAACAAAAAATGCTCACTGCTTATACATTTTCTACACAAAAAGCTATACATTACTGAAAATTAAGTGTGAAAGTAAAAATGTTAAGTTGTAAAGATATTCACATTTTAAAATGAAATCCAAATTTTTGAATATATAGCATATCAAAAACTGAATGGTCTTTGGTTACTCATATATGCATTCTTTCATTGATACGAAAATATTTATTGAACTCATTACACATAAGGGTTTGAGATAGCAAAATAATAAGACTCAGTCCCTGTTTTAAGGAGTATGTGGCCAAGAGCATTTGAGTTATAAGACATCGATAATACAGTGGGATAATGCTTTAATATAAGTGTAAAATTATGATAGGTATGATGGGCTCATTGAGGGCCAAAGCATCTATGAATCCTTTGGAACAGAATCAGAGATTTATTTGAACTGAAATTTAAAGGATTAGAAGTAGTTTGTCAGGTGATAGAAATGGAGGACAAGGCAGAGGGACATGTGCAAATGCTTTTTTAAAGAGAAATCGTGGGATATTCATGAATGAACAAGCAATTTGACTTGAGTTAAAATCTTTGGCAGAGAATTTCACATTGGACCTGGAGAAGCAGACAGTGAGGACTAATGATAAAGGTTTAATTTAACTAATTCTAATTTAACTACAAAGAGTCAGTGTTTCTCTACTGTGACAAAAATAGAGGGAGAATAGTTAGGAGACCCTTGAAGTGGTACAGATTAGAGGTGCTGATGGTGGTGGAAGTGAAGATAAGTACATAGGTAGGTAGATGGATAGTTTAAGATGTAGAAATTTTGGAATTGGTGATTGACTGGCTCTGTGTAAGTATGTTTCTAGGATAACCTCCCAATTTTTTGCTTAGATTTATGGATAGTAGTTACCACTAAGTAGAATATATAGTCAGAAGAACGGGAGAAAGAAGATGATAAGCTTTTTTTCAGGGCATGTTGCCTATGAGGCACTCAAATACAGTTGTGTGGTAGGCAGAAGTCTATAATAGATTTGATGGTCATATAATTTATTTGTCAAGCCAAGACATTTTTGACAATGAAAAGGAATGTTGTTATTGATTACACTTGGACAGTAGTCATTCAAATACTGACCTGGGCAAACTGATGGCCGGTTGATTTAATGAAAGATGATATCCATTTTCTTATGTTCTTATGTAAGAATATGTGCACTGTAAGAGAAATAAGGCCCTTTCTTACTATCTAAGATACAAGTACTTTGAAAACTTTTGTATATTGAAGAGCTTATTAAGTCTTTTTTTTAAAGAATATTTTGATGAAATGAAAGAATATGGCCCAATTCATATTCTGTGGTCAGCGTCAGAAGAGGATCTGGTTGATACTCTAAAGGATGTTGCCGGCTGCATTGACAGATGCTGTAAGGCCACTGAAAAGCGGATGTCTGGACTCTCAGAGGCCCTGCTTCCTGTTGTACATGAGTACGTGCTTTATAGTGAAATGTTAATGGTAAGAACACCTAATTCGAATTTTACCTCCGTCTCTTAACCTGATTATAAGCTCTGTAAAGGCGACTATATTTCTTTTCTTTAAAACTACTATCTTTTTGTCCTAGCAGGTTGTTTTGCATGTATATGTTCAATAAATAATTTGTTCACTGTGTGCCTGAATAGATGAAAGAAAGAATCCTTTGTTAAAAAGCAGGAATACTCAATACTCAATAGCAACACCAACAATTTATCAGATTATACATAGACAGGAAGCATCCTCAATCAAAATTTACGTAGGGAATATGATTAGTTTTTCCAAACCTTTTGAAATTTTACTTTAAAATTTTTTAGTGCTTTGGGGATTTCTTTTCATGAAAGAACTGCTCTCCTGCTTCTAGGTACATTTGATTTAGCAATATATTTAGTACCATTATGTAGAAAGTACTTGAGTCGGATCTTGATGTTCTGCCTTCTGGTTGCTTTTAAAAGAAATCTTTCAAGTTAAAATGTTTTTCTTTCACTACTTGAAAAGGCTTTTATTCCTCTTGTATCAAAGTTTTGCATTTTACTTCCTCAGTTCAAGTTAAGGTTTCCAGATATTTGGAATTTAGCAATGCTATCTGCAAAGCTAATGTTTTTCATCCAGTATTTTTCTGTGCCTACAATACTTTGCACAAGCAAATTGGCACCCTCGGGTCTCTGGTGTTTTAGGATGGTGATGAGGGAAGGAGTCAGCTTGCATTCAGATATAGCTCTTTTTTTCTATTCTTTATAATTGGAACCATGGTCTCTTTGGACATGTACCCTTGATTTCTAGGAATTTCTTTCAATTTTTTCTTTTTAAAAAACTTTTCCTTGTTTTGGTCTGAAAAGCTCACTTCGTCGTTCAGCATGAGATCTGCCTCTCTCTTGTTGATCATGTTTAGGTTTCCTTTGACAGAGTCATTAAATATTGCACGGACATTTCAGGCTTCGGCTGTGCTTAACTTTATTGGAGTCCTCCTGTAAACAAAGCTTCTTGCTTCCCAAAGGCCTTCGATGTTTCACTGTTGATGATTCTCTTGCCTCTCTCTATCCATTTCCTTGGCTACATCCTTTGGTTTCACTTCATTATTGGTCACCCCCTTGTGTAAATCTTCAAGAAGATCTGATTTGTATGTTCTGCTCCATTAATTAATGTTTTCTTTTATATTATATCAAGATGGAAATTATGTAATTGAAGTATTACATTGTTAAGGATATGGAAAAATTATAATAGAATTATTTTATAGGTCCTCATTTGATTGAATTACTTTTTAGACTCCCAGGGTATAATAAATAGTACTTATATTGCATTTCTTGTCCTGTTTGATATTGGAACATTCTCTTCGATTTGAGCTAAAATAATGAAAAATAATCCTCCCATAAAAATGATTAATTTCATGTAATTTTCACCAGTTGTCCTCTGAAGCAACCTTTTACTTAAAATGTATTTGTGCATATGAAAACCAGTACTTCATCTTTTTTGAAACAGATCTTAAATAAATAGGACTGAGTTAGAGAGTGAGTCATTTGGGTCAAAGAAAGGAGGGCTTTCTTGACATTAATGGCAATTAAACATTGAGGTAAATATAAAGGAATTTATGATATTAGTTGAGTTTTCTATGGATTTCTTTGCAACTAGGAAAAATGTTAGTTTCCTTTGTTTTTTTTTTTTTTTAAAGAGACGTCTGTTTAACAGGCTGTTTAACCTGTTTAACGTCTGTTTAACAGGCTCTGTTGCACAGGCTGGAGTGCAGAGGCATGATTATAGCTCACTACAGCCTCGAACTCCTGGGCTCAAGTCTAAGTTACATGTCTCGGAAGAAATGTGAATCACTTAAAGACATTGTAAAAATTCAACAAAAATGAAAGATGTAGATGAATTCTGCACTTCATTTTCTTCACATGGGTGCTTTAAGTTTAAAAACTCTGAAACATGAAATCAAGAAAAAAGATACAACTCCTATCAGTCAAAGAGGAGGCTATGATTTCTCATCAAAAGCTTGGCTAACTAATGAATATTTTATATTTTGAGCAAAAATAAAATGCTTAGGATATGAATGCATAATTCAGTTTTCTGATTTCCCAGCATAATTTCCTGTTTGATTATCCATCCCTTTGGAGTCAGGTAAGAAGGTTGCCACAGAGTGTAGATATTTCCAGATTATGGTCCATGTGACATCCCACCTGCAACTAGTTTATACTGTAGTATATATTTCCAGTGCTTCTACTATTTTTTGTTTGTTTTGCTCTTTACTATTTTTGAAGAATTGTACATGCCTAGAGTATTCCATCAATGTAGTGCATATATACAATGCTTAAATGGGTAAAATGTGCATTAGGAAAACTAATTGAAACATTTATAGGAAAAAACCCTCTTAAATACTTGCTTTCAATTTAGTTTTTAGAGATTAAAAAAAAAAAAAAAAAAACTTTTAAAATGTATTATATCCCCAAATGACTAAAAAAAAAAAAAAAAAAACTTTTAAAATGTATTATATCCCCAAATGACTGATGGCTTGAGGAAGAGATGCTATTTTTCTGAAATATATATTTTTGCTATAGGAAAGATTATTAAAACTAAGTACATCCTATTTTATCTGTGTGTTTTAATGTAAAGGGTGTTATGAAAAGAAGAGACCAAATACAAGCAGAACTGGATTCCAAAGTTGAAGCTTTGACCTATAAAAAGACAGACACTGATCTGGTAAGTTTTTAAGTTTCTTGATACAATCGTATAGAATTCATTGTCTAAAATTTTTATTAGCAATGTCCTTACATAATTCTTTCTTACATGATTGTTTCTAAACATTCAGCAAATTATAGTAAAATTTCTTCCTAAAATCTGTTATACATTGGATACCATGTGAGTCTACAAGCTTAACAATGATGGTTTTCTGCCTTTCTGACTTATGTCTCATCTCATCCTATTAGGAAAGTATAATTTTTTAAAAAGGAGATAATGTATTGGAAGAAAGTATGAAAGGCAATACTAGCATTATTCCAGGCTAGTAAGTACTCAGTAATAAATCTTCTTTTTTCTAGTTTTTTGAGATTTTCATATAAAATACGTTAATGTTCCTCTATACTTTTTTTCTGAGTATTGTTAAACTCTTTGTGAAAGTGAATATCTTTGTGTTTGCAAGTTTAATCTTTACCTTCAGATATTTTATTACGGAAATTTTCAAACAAAATGAGATCTAATAATATGAGCTCTCATATATTCATAACTGGGCTTCATTAATGCTCAACATTTTGCTCAACTTTTTTTATTGTCTCTCCTCATGTTTAAATTTTTACTGAAGTATTCTAAAGCAAATTCTAGATATAGATTATTTTACCCATGGTAGTTTTATATTTATATTTTAGTATCTTTGCATTTTCAGAGTAATACTGTCAGGTTGGAATAATTATTCTCATTTTAAAAGTGAGAAGACACTTGAAAGGTAGAGTAATTTGCCTAAGTTTATATATAGGTCTTGAAATGCAGAATAGGATCGGAGGTGATGATGTCTCTTGTCTGCCTCAGACAGTGCTGCCTGTCAAAAAGCAGGTATAGAAGTGGGAAAAGTGGACTTTTAATCTAATGAACTTCTACTGTGTGCATTATGAAATATTTTTTAAATTTTCCTTTACATTTAAGGATTTAGGTTGTTATTGAATACAATGTTGAGTGCACTTACATCAGGTGAGTTGGGGAGTCCTTGAAACGTCCCTGTAAATCTATACTGTTGCAGCCTCCTCAGCCCTGACCTGGCCAAGGACTCTGCATCCCCCCTCCCTGCTTTAATAGTCTCCCTAACTTTAATCACTTCCTAACATATGACTTCCTAATTTGTTTTCTTTATACATTTTTCTCTCTCCCTCTCCATAACTGAAACACCTTAAGGGCCGATTATTTTTTTTCTTCATGTGTTCACTAGAGTGTTCCCAGACCCTTGTGCACTGCCTGGCACATCGTAGTCACTCAGTAAATATGTAGTGAAGGAATGAGTGGAAACCATAGTGACTACTCTGATTTGTGCAAGCATATTGAAGGCTTGAAGCATGAAGTCTCTACAAAATCAGACTGTGCAATTATTTCATTATTTAATTAATATTGTGAAAACCAGTAAAAGATGAGTACAAATACTAAGAGTCCTTGTGTCTACGAAGTCTAACTTGCATGTCTGTATGCAACTTAGAATTATTATACTATGAATTATTCTCACGTTTCTTGACTATGTATATTAACTGAAATTCTATTCTCTCCAGTGGAATGTGAGTGGGGAGTGGTGGGCTGCTGTGGACAGAGTAGGAGAAAGGAATCTGTGAGAGAGAATAACTGAAAATGTAGAACTAGAGGAAATAGTGCTCAAAGGAAAAATCATCTTTATGATTTAGAGAGAACCCCAGATTAACCTTTTCCATTTAATAAGAAACAATAGACTCCTAACGCTCTCAATATATATAGTTAAGAAACATATATATACATATGTGTATATATATAATACATATATGTACATATATACGTATATTTCTTAACTATATATATAGAGAGAGAGTTAAGAGTCAACTAGAATTGACTGAAAGGCTGTACATGTGTATAGAAATTGTAATTGCATCTTCTGAATTTTAGAATTTGTTTTTAGGTGTTAAGTAACTAAGGATATTGAAGTTAGTGGTTAGACAAAATTTTGCTCTTGATGAAATACTAGGAACAGTAGAATATTTTAAAGTTTCAGGAGAATAATAGCATGGCTGAAAAACCAAGCATATGTTAAGAATGGCCTATATTCATGTTTTAAAATGAAAGGAAGATTAGTTGGGATTGTTCCAACCACAGAAGCACAAGGAAGAAAATAGCTTGGGTCCAAATATGGCTGGGATTTCCCAACTCGGTTAAAAAAACACACACACACATTTATTTTTCCACTGGGCTTGCAAATATTTTGTCTTTTGCTGCATAAGAATAATTTTGATATTTTATTATAACTTAATCATCAGTATATATTTATGATTTCACTTGGGTGTGTATGTCATGTCTACTATAAAGTGTTTAATACCCATGTAGCTGCTACATTGTAAGACTGGAAAAATTTGAAACTTTAATTATCTGCATTATATTCTGTAAGATACTTTCAGTTGATTAAGTTTCAAAACAGACACATTTAACAGAGACATCGCAGGTATTTTTTTTTTGTTTATCATCAAAACAAATTTTTCCTAAAATTTATGCAGACTGATTTAATGATTTGTGAATGGAACTGTTTATATTTTCAAATAATTAATTTGTGTATAGGCCTTCTCACTTTTAAAATCCCTATGTCTTATGATGGTATCTTCGGGAGGAACCTACCAGAGTTACTTTAAAAATGAACCGGCCTTGATTGGTCACAGAAAGACTGAAAGGAAGTTGCTTAGAAATATGCAGGATAGGGTCACCATGGCAACGTGCCCTTGTGAGGTCCTTCTAAGGAGCCGTCCTTTGCAGTCACCATGGCGACCCTGGCAGAGAACTGAATATAGCAATCTGCCTGGTTGTTTACCATGGCAACTCAGACAGGGCCATTTTGGAGACAACTCTGGGGCCATTTCTATGGAGACATTGGGGCAGCCTTCAGAGACTCCATCGAAGTCACCTTTGGGTGGGATGCTATGTGCAAACCCAGCAAAGCAACTGATAATAAAAAGGTCAGTGAAATGAAGCTCTAGCAAGAAACGCAAAGGTTAGAGGAGTTATAGTTATTGGGAAGAAAGATTGCAGTTATATAACACTCCAGAGGACATTTGACTGTATCAGGTGACCTTCGTGTGGGTTTTGTGGCATGCAAATACAAGGGTTCTGGTCTTTTTACCTTGCCTGTAATCCTGCATTTACTATAAATGAACAATAATGGCATTACAGTTACTTTTTCTTATCACACAGATATACCCACAAAAGGTATGTGTTTTTCTGCAAACTAAAATAATATCTCACAGAGAGTCCTTGATACATTACATGGTTAGTTGCAAAGTGGCTCCTTCTCAGAGTTTGTGGTTTGTAGTTCTTATCTCACAGCCATAAAATTAATGGCTTCAGGATTACCTAAGTCAGTAAAGACATTCGGAATATTCATTTGAAGGTCAGTTCAGCGGTTCATGTAGAGTTTTGTTGTCTAAGTTTTGGAATTGGATAAATCAAAGATCAAATCCTAGCTCACCTGTTTATTAAATTTTGTGACCCTGGACAAGTTTTCTAACTTCTTTTAGCCTCATTTTATCATGTATAGGTTGAGGACATTATTTGAACCTTTCTAATAGGCTTGTTTAAGGATTAAATTATATAATGCAAATACATTGCTTGGAGCATAGTAAGTACTCAGTAGTTGTTAGCTGTTGTCATTTTGATGACAGTATAGAGGTAATATTTGAGATTGGTCTGTATAAAATGGCTATGGAGTTATTCATTGTAAAGCACAAGGAATATTTCAGGTAGAATGGATATTATGAAAAGCTTTAGAAGCTTGAAAAGCCTGCTAACTTGATTAAACCAGATTGGTGTGTGGAGGGGAGGGTACAGTGAGGAAGAGGGGATGTGACTTAAAGGTGGACTATAGTCAGGTAGAAAGGAGGCCTTATCTGTCAGGTTGAGAAATATGTACTTTATCCTTTGCTCAGTATGGATCCAGTAGGAACCTGAATTGAAGAGGTGGCAGTGGAGTTGCAGAGACGAGTTAATATGAGAAAGAGGTAGGCAGAGGATAGAAGCCACATCACTTAAATAATGAAGGGCAGCCAATGTTTCAAGTTATTAATAACTAACATTTCTAACTTGCAGCAGGGCAGATTGTGGCTCTCTACACTGAGCTACAGAATAAAAAGTGAAGAAGAAATTTGGAGATGTGCAACTTTACATATTTATAAGATGATATTTAAGGTAGAGGTATTCAACAAAAACTTTTCAGCAAAGTTAATTATTTACCATATGAATGTCACTGTTCCCAGCACTGGGGAAAGAAACCAGGTCCTCATGAGGCTTATGTTCTAGTGGGTCAAAAAAAAAAGAGTAAATAATTAAAATTTATAATATATTGTCATATAGTGATAAGTGTGGAGGAGACAGAGTGTTGAGGAGCAGTGCAATTTAGAATTAGGTGTCAGTAAAATAGTCACCAAGGAGGTAATGTGTGAGCAATATGTATACCTGGGGGAAGAGCCTTTCAGGCAGAGGGGACAATACATGCACAATGAAAGTGTGCTTGTACATTCCAGAAAAAGCAAGAAGGCCAGTGTTGCAGAAATGGAGTGAGCAAGTAGAAGAGTTGTGGGAAATGAAGTCAGAGAAGAAACCAGGGGTTAGACCATATAGAGCTTTATAAGGTTTATATATCTCAGTGAGATAGGAAAATAGTTGAACAAAGGAGTAGCATAATCATATTTAACTTATAAGATGATTGTTGTGCTTGGAGAAAGCACAAGATGATGTACATGTGGTATGTGCATGGGATGGAGGAAAGCCAGAGCTGGAGAGTAGCTCTTAAAATATTCCCAGTGAGACATAGTAGCTTGGACCAGAGCAGAAGTGATGTTAAAGGGTCAGAAGCTGAGTATATTTCATAGGAAGAGCTGTTTGCTATTTGGTGGGCTGTGGATTGTGAGCCAATAAGGAGAGGCAAGGATGATTCTGAGGTTTTAGACGGAGCAACTGGAAGGTAATAGTTGGCATTAATTGAGATGAGGAGACTT